GAGGAAGACGGCCCTGGGCTAACATCTGTGCCCATCTTCCTCCACTTTATATGGGACGCCACCACAGCATGGCTTGCCAAGCAGTGCGTCGGTGCGCGCCCGGGACCCGAACCAGCGAAGCCCGGGGCCGCCGCAGCGGAGCGCGCGCACTTAACCGCTTGCGCCACTGGGCCGGCCCCGAGTTCTAATTATTCTTATTCTAAATAGTTATGGAATACAAGTATTTTACTAAGGGATTCTATGCAGATTAATTAAAAATAATAAAGCAGAAAAATAAAAATGCAGAAAGCACATTAATTTCATTTCAGACTAGCCCATGGACTTTTCAAGCAAACGGGAGAAAAAGCTTCCAACATACCTTCGGAAAGACTCGGTTTTGCTTTGTGTTTGGGCCGATCCTCGCAAGGGTAAAAGTTCAGTTGCTGTAAAACTGCTGGACAGATGACAGAGAAGTCCGAGCTGGTTATCTGGGTAGCATTTGAAAAGCCATGAAGGGAAAAGATCTCTTCAGCTGATAAACACTGAAACAGAAGAAGCAAAACAAACACATATGTATGCATATGGCAAAAGCACACATGCCAAGATACTACAAAGAGACAAAGAATACTTCATCTAGACACACAGCACTAACTCTTTATACAAAAGCCCACTACAGAAATGTATCCACTCCTAAAACTGTAAAACAGCCCACACCTCTTTAAACCTAGAAACCAGAAAAATAGCAAAAATCCTTCTTGATCAGCAGTCTACCTACAGCAGTCAAGAAGGTCAGAACTGGCTTGGGGGTTTCCAAAGACTTTAAAGATATTAAAAGTGGACCAATAGCAATTCAAACAAAGGGCTTTAAGACAACTCTATATTCTCAATCTTCCCTCTCTTTTTCTTTAGTTTGAGTGGATATTTTGTGTAGGCTATTGGAGTGGCTCTCTACAACATTTCTTGTAGACAAACACCTGGTTCCCTAACAGTTTCATAGTTAAGAAATTCATCTATCCTCCTAGACAGCAATAATAATTCCAATATTTAAAAGTTGTTTTTAGGGCCGGCCCTGTGGCTTAGTGGTTAAGTGCGCACGCTCCGCTGCTGGCGACCCTGGTTCGGAACCCCGGGCCCGGACCGACGCACCACTTCTCCAGCCATGCTGAGGCCGCATCCCACATACAGCACCTAGAAGGATGTGCAACTATGACATACAACTATCTACTGGGGCTTTGGGGGAAAAAATAAATAAATAAAAACTTGTTTTTAAATATTTTAGCATAAATGGTTGTTTTCTAAAATATGTATTATTCTCAATGATGGTAGGTAGCTTTTCTATATTGCATAAAGTTTTGAAAATAGTGCTGGGCTGTTTAGAAATTCATTAGTTATTAATGAGGAATAGAATCCATATTAGAAAAATATTCTCTGCAAAAATAAATTTTTAAAGGTATCATTTTACTCTTGGGCATATTTTAACTGTGAACTATCTTCCACATACTTGCATTATTAAGAAGAATACAAAAGAAGTTAAATGTGTTACTATTGCTAATAAATGTAAGAATTATACAGTGTGAAAAATATTCATTGACTCAAATAGAAGAGTCTGTCAGTGCAATTGAGAAAAGTTCTTTGCATACTTCAGCCAATATTTAAATGCTACTAAGATCTTAGCTTTGTGCTATGGACTGGATTGTGCCCTTCCAAAATCCATGTATTAAAGCCCTAACACCCAATATGATGTTATTTGGAGATGGGGCTTAGGGAGGTGATTAGGGTTAGATGAGGTCATGAGGGTGAGGCCTCACTCCAATTGGATTAATGGTCTTTTAAGAAGAGACACCCAACAGCTTGCTTGCTCTCTCTCTCTCTCTCCAGCATCTGAGAACATAGCGAGAAGGCAGCCACCTGCAATCCAAGGAGACAGCCCTCACCAGACACCAACCCTTCTGGCACTTTGATGTTGGCTTCCAGTCTCCAGAACTGTGAGAAAATAAATTTCTATGGTTTAAGCTATTCGGTCTATGGTATTCTGTTATGGCAGCCCAGACTGACTAAGACGTTATGAATGGTATTGAGAATTCAAAAGTTGATGTAACTGTTTGACCATAAGGTGTTGTAATGTCCTTCACAAGAGACAAATGAAACCAAAAATGTTAAGATTTTGGTTCAAGAACATCACTACTGATTATAAAGGAAAGATAAAAAACATCAAATACACCTAAATGTATGCAGTCGTCAAAGGCTAAGACTGCATTGGCCTTAAAGAAAACACACATTTAGACCTCCTTTTTATTTAATGTCTAAGTATGTGCCTAAAGCAGTTCCTTATTCAACCCACACTCTCGTTAGGTTCATGACAATGATAGCTGTGTGTCATCCCTAGAAGTAGAGACTCCACACCCAGTGCTCTGTTCACAGTCTTCCCTTCCGCTGAGACCAGAAGGTAACAAACCAGAGGAGGGAGAACACAGCTCGGGAGCTAAGTGCGGGAGGGAACGTAGGTGTAGCATATTCATGACCATGAAGCCACCCAGGGGGCATAATGGCCAGGCTCAAAAATCAGAGTCCATGTGGTCCAACTGCCCGCCGCAGCGTTCCAGGAATAAATGGGGTAGCGACATAAACAGAAAGCAGCACTGTTTCCCTACAAGGAAGGCTGCGTACTTGGACTTCGAGTTCCTCCAACTACAAAACGGTAGGAAAAGGGGAAGCTGCCAATAAATAATTTGCCAAGTCTTCTCAGAATTAACATTCTAAGACTTCCTAAACCTTGATGACTGTTAAGCAGTCCTCTTCAGACTCCAGTTGTGACTCATTCACAGGCTAGGAAACCCACTTACAATGTCACAGTCAGCATTCTGTAAGGAAGTACAAAATGATACAACAAAGCTGGAGAGTTATCATAACTATTGTTATCACACAAAACAAGGGCAAGTACTGCTTAGTCAAACTTCTGCTTCAGTGACGCATGTACGTACCACACACATGTACACTGGATCACAACGTAACAGTCACTGTTCACTGTAAATGGCAGTCAAGAGTTTCAAAGTCGTTACCCTGAAGGATGCCAAAATTGCCCACTGTACATCATTGAAGACACTCTTATACGGACACTTAGGAAAAAAGCAATGCAGTCAAAGAAATATATAGTCAATCCTGTAGGACAGCTGAGAGTCTTGACGATCTGGGCAGCATCTGGTAGAAATTTTGGCTGGGCAGGTGGTCATGGATAATAACACTCGACAGCGGCAACTTAGTCTCCAGAAGGAACAAGGAGGTGGAGAGATGACAGAACTCTAGGCCTTGCCTATGAGGTGAGAATAAGGACGGAATACTAACAGTGTGGCAAAACTGAATTCATGGCAGATCTGATTTATGTAAAGATAGCTAGCTACCAGCAAGTAGAATGCAAATAGTTTTATACAGCAGCCTATTTTGGCTTTAAACCATCTTGATTTTTATTACGCTTTGATTTAACAAAGTTGAACCTGAAACAGAGAAAGCAGTTGTTGGAGAAAGGACAGTGTTCCCCTGAGCAGGGACAAACAGGATGAGAGCCCAGCGCCTGAACAGTGAGAGTGACAGCAGAACCAGCAGAACCACTGACAGGAAGTTTACACATCCTCTCAAACACACCCCTTCTTCTCCAACGCAAACAGTGAATAAATTATGAAGCTGGTAGGATCCACCGTGGCTCCTCAGAAAACACTCAGGGTGACTCGCCTGAACGGTGTGAGCCTTAATAAAGCCTCGTGCGCCTTCAGCCCTCCTTCACACGTACGGACTGAGCTGTTCTTCTCTCCACCTATTTGTTCTGACAACACTGCTGTGCTGCAGAGGGCCACGCTGATGTTCGCCGTGGCCGTCTGAGCGCTGTGCCATCAGAGCAGGCTCCAGCCAGCAGAGGTCCCAACGTTCAGTGCGTTGACTCTTCCTAGAGACATCTTCTCAATGCCGCGTTAACGCCTATTCATTAGTCTCTTGCCACCTGAAGGTGGTCTCAACTGGGCCTTACGAGGTACCAAAGGAAGGGAGCAATAGAGGCAAAGGCGTTTAGACCCGTATCATAAACGAGACCCCAAGTTATATTCAAAATCATTGTAGCAAATCGTTCCACAATTTCTTCTGCTCCTTCCCTACCCCTTCTTCCTCACCAGTTCTGACTAGTCAGGAGCTTTCCTGCTTCTTTCCCAGACACATCTTTGTGGGAATGCTGGGGGCTGCTGCAGGAGGGGACGGAGGGAAGGTTGAATGATTAGGGGAAGTTCCTCCCTAAACATTTTATACAGTTGAAATCTCCCTATAATAAATACCAAAGAGTTAGGCAAGATTTGAAATTACAGAACTTAGATAATGATACAGACTCTCTCCTCGATTAAGTCCTCAAAGCCACGGCCTTGCATCTGTCCCTGTGAGGCCTGCATCACCCAGTTCTAGCAAGAGTCCTGCTCGGTCAGTTCAGAAAATTCCCCCATCCTCAGTGTCTGGTCACCCCAGCCTGCCGTCAGCAGGAATCCCGTCAGGTCTGTTTAATCAAAATCCCCCCTACCCCTGAGGTTTCCTCTTAGTAATTTTCCATCCACTCACCCCGACCTTGCTCCTTGGCTACAAATCCCCACTTGTCCATGCCGTACTCAGAATTGAGCCCAGTTCTATACTGAAGGCCCTTTTCCCCCATTGCAATAGTTCTTGAATAAAACTTGTTTTTATCCCTGTAACTATTGCCAGGCTCTGGTTTTAACAACACCAAGTATAATAACCATATAATTATACTATACATCGCATAAATTCTTTCCTCATTCAACAAATATTTACTGGATCATAAAATTCTCGGTATAATATTGACAGGAGAAGTGGAAGGTAGGGAAGCTGCAGGATGACAACCAAGAAAGAAATAGTACAAAGATAAATAAGTCATAATACCTTCCATCCAGAAACCTAAATAATTTTGGCAGAAATAAATCAGAAATATCAGTATATATAAAACCAGAAAGAAAGTGATAAATTCACAAGAGATGTAATGATAAAGAACTACGAGAGTTCATGTAAGGGAGAAATGATATGCAGAGGAAATAGTCAAAAGCAAGTTTGAGGTTAGAACTCCGGGGAAAACAGAAAGAGGATGTTGCTACTGGAGTGATTAGGGAACCTAGGAAAAGAAGCTCATTTGGGAGGATGGTGGCAAGTTTGGTTTTAAACATTTTAAGCTGTAATGGCTGTGGGACATCAGATGGAAATGACATGAGTGAGCTTTCTCTGAGAAAGGCAGAGGCCAGAGGTAAGGATGTGGCTGTCTTCTGTAAGGAGACAACAGCTGAGTGGGACTGGGGGAGATCATCAGGAGAGAGAGGAGAGAGAAAAGAGGAAAGCTTTGGAAATACATATTTAATTTGTGCAAAAGCAGAAAAGGGAACCAGAGAACAAGACAGAGCAAGATAAGCCCAAAACGTAGGAAATAATCTAGGCCAGTAAAATGTAGTGAATGTCCATTGTTGTTGCCTGCCTGAAATCCCTTCCCCACCACCAGTAACAGACTGCC